TGAATCTGGCAACACCCAGCAATTACTAGATGCTCAATAAATGTTAGCAATCACTTACTTTTAATTGAAAAACATGATGGGAGAAAGAATTCAAAAGTATCCCAGAGATTTTGAGGAGTGCTAATTGTAAATCATTTCCTAAAAGCTGAATGTTATAATGCAGATAAACTAGCCAGTAAACCAATTACTTGGGTATGAAAACTCAAGCTGAATTTTGTTAAACCCCTAAAAAAAATAGAATGTGTCCTAGGCTGCCACCTGCTGGTATGTGATGAACTAAAAAGAACTGTCTGGAAGATCCAATTCCACGCTAAGTGAAAATAGTGGTAGAAGCTTAGTTTATCTCAGACAATTAGGGTAATATTTTTACTAGTAGACTGTTTTATTAAAATCCTTATGCATGAGAACCGCAGTAATTTTTATTGATAATTTTAGCGAATAGATGGTTTTGTTAGTCTTAGTATTATCTATGGCTCAAATGTGAATCAAGGGTGTTATGAAAACTGTCTTTATTACTATTTTCTTTTCATATGTTAATCTTTTATAGTTTTATTATGGTTTAAGTTTAGTGGCATTAAACTGGAACCAATTCAAAATATATAATTAATTATAATCAGCTTTGATTGTTATGGTTAATTATAATCTAACCAGGGGTTCCTAAAAGGCAATCTGCATACCAGTTGATCTGGCTGATCACATCAATATTACTTAGTCTCTGTTTCATACATGCAGAAGCAGAATATTTGGGGGTAAAGTTTTTTAAAAAACATCCTATGTGATTCTTATGCAGGTAACTTCGGAGGCTATCATACTAGATGATAAACTCCCTGAGACAAGGATAATTTCTTATTCGTTTTTGTATTCTTGAGACTTAACAATACTAGCACACTGTAGGCATCCACAAAAAATTAGATAAATGAGTGAACAAAGGCGTGCGTAGACAAACTAATTGATACGTGGCTCCCGGCAACAGTTAGTAACACAACAGCTATGGTGGGCTAAACCTCTTGGCCTTCTACTTTATGTGTACTAGCCAATTAGGTAAATATTATTTGTTGGTCTTGAAAGTTTCAGAGAGGTTACATACACATTGGGATTAAAGTAGCTGCATGTTGGCCCAGTCAAGTTTTAGAGAATATGAGTAAATATGAGAATATGAGTACTAAAAATGACTTCAGACTCATTAAGTGATAAAGAAACAAAAAGGGATTTCGTTATTTAAACAAACATATACTTTGCTGTATTATTAGTTTCTTTTCCAATAACAAGTCAACATATAATTGAATCGATTTACCAAAAATTATTTTCTGTTTTTGCATGACACAAGGACTTGGATAGGTCCTTTAGCTTCTTTAGGCCAAGTTATTCAGATCTTGTGGGACTCCCTTGAAATTAAACAGTATTTAATGTCAGTAACAATGTAGAGAGGCAGTTACAGTATAGAGAGTGGAAAAACTTAAAAAACTATTATTGAAGAGATCCTTTGTGTGCCTGAGAAAAATTGACCTGTAACAGTTAATTCTAAAACATAACTTAGTAAACGATTAGATTTGTTAAAAAAAAGAAAACAAATCCTCTGATTCTCCAGTCAAAACAAATAAGGTCTAAAAAGTACATATTATAGCAAAATAATTTAGCAATTTCTAGGTAATTATATAAGAGCACTTGTTTTCTTGTTCTCATGGAATGTCGTTAAGGCAACAGTAATTATATTAAAATTTAGCAGCTTTTGAAAATGTATTGTTTCAAATTTTTTAAAAAAATTTATTTTATTAATAGTTTCAAGTATACAGTGCATTGGTTAGACATTTATATAGTTTATAAAATGATGCCCCTAATTTCTCTTCTTTCTTCTGGCTCTTCACCTAGTCTTTACATTAATGCTAACTGCATTCCTTATGCCATGTTCCCCATCCCCATGATCATCTATCAACTACTAATTTGAGATAAAATACTAAGGTATTATGGAACTTATTACTAGACATTAGAAAAATAATTTTAAAAATTAATAGATTAAGAAAACAAAAAACAGGAATCTATTACGGGGGAAATAAAATAATAATACTTGGATAACCAAATGTATTTTTTCTGGAGAAAATATAGGGAATACTGAAAAAAAGATAAAAATTTCATCAAAATGTAGATCTGAAAGCAGGATGGGTATTTATTTACTTTCATGTCAGCCATAACAGATGAATTTAAATAAAACTTGAAAGAGAAGAAAAATTGAATATACATTTGTATCACATGTATTTTCTCCCAATTCAGGTACATGGCCATGTAGCTTGGGTATTAAATAATAGATCATTCTTTTTGCAAACTATCTACCATATACAAAATATTAATTTTTTCAAAAAATAAACAGCAGAAGTAGAATTTTGGAGACTACTTTTTAAATGTAAACTCTTTCAAACAGTAAAAAAATTACTAGATTCTGATATATTATTGTACCTTGAAGTATTCTGTTTTTATTAAAAACTGTCAATGAATAAAAGCAGTAAATTTAGAATACAAATTAGTGCAGACTGGCATTTATATGTATTCTTAGAATCTATAGAGATGAAAAAGCACATCAGCAAAATGTTAACTATTCAAAACTAAAATCTCATTTGAAAAGTAAAATATATATAACTATTGGTGTTGTGAAATAACGACGATATTTAGAGAGTATAATATAAAACCAAATAATTCGCTCAATTATAGATGCATTGAATGAAATCATTTGAACTATTTGAACAAGGCAAAATATGTTAAACATTGGTCAATTATTTTAGTTATAATTTCCATGCAGAACAGATAACAATTGTTGCAAGATTTGTGGGTTTCTGAAATCCTATACTTCCATATGTGAATATAGATTTTACTCAGCAAATGACATAGCTGGGGAACAATCTGATTGATTACATATTTACTAGACTACTTATAAACACAGAACAGAAACCAAAATAATGAGAAAGGGAGAAATCTTTGTGATTTGAGATGATATATCCCTTCTCTCATTACTTAATGATAACATGTTGACCACCATCTTGTTCAATTACTTCTCTGCAAAAGCAAAAGCAATAAAAGATTCGCTGAAGACTGAATTAAAAGTAAATGCCTTAAAACTTCTGGTAGTAGGGTAAATATTGTAACAGTGAAAAAAATGTAATGTAAATGCTACAGCTTGAGTTGAAGATGTTACTGCAAGTTGAAAATGATCTCTCCTCAAGAAACAAAAGTATCTTCTTGTCCATAGATTGATATCTGGAAAACTTAGGTCTAATACTAATAATATTATAATATTATTAGAAACAGAAACAGACCTAAGTTTCTATATTATTATTATTAATAATTGGAAAGTCTAAGATATGACAGTGCCACAATATTATGTATGAAAATACATTTCGACAGGAAGATTCTCAAAAAGTAATTCTAGATCATTCCATATCTGTTGTACATTCTTTAAATTTAATGGCGAAAAAATATAGTAAGAATCTTTTTTTACTCTATTGAAAAGTTTATCTCATTCAAGAACTGTAAACTACCTTTTATTTCATTGAAACAACAGAAGTCATTGCAACAAACATTTACTTAATTTTGAAATAATTATAAATTATATGATGTGAAAGTCCAGTTGAGGCTATCCTGCCACTAATACTCAATTGGAGGCAATAAGCAATGCTTTTTTTTAAAAAAAATAAATTATTGTTATTTAAAAGATAAGTTATCTAAAGATTATATGCTAGCCAAAGATATACTTTTGACAACATCTACGTTTAAATGTATTTTCTCAGTACTAATTTGGCATGACTCTTTCAGTATGGAGATTTTTTTTACTTTAGGTATTTTATTTATTTTTATTTTATTTCATTTTGTTATAGTTTCGAGTATATAGTACATTGGTTAGATATTTATATAGTTTATGAAACGATCCCCTCGATTATGTTATCACAGTTCTGGCTCTACACATAGCTATTACCTTACTGTTGACTGCATTCCTTATGCAGTACTCTCAATCTCCGTGACCATCTATCAAGTACTAATTTGTACTTCTTTAACGCTTTACCACTTTCCTCCAGCTCCCCAACCTCCCTCCCCTCTGGCAGGTGGTGTGGATGTTTTATATTTTAAACCATTTTTATTTTTAAAAAATACCTATAGAAAACTACATAAAAGGGATAGAGAGCCTAAGGAAGCAAACATTCTTGTAACTATCACCTATGTCAAGAAATAGACCTATGCCCTCCATTCCCATGATTCTTTGGGCTCTTTTTTCTTTTCTGGCACATAAGACATTCCAGGCTCATCCTATATTTTCTCTGCCCTCCCTGGAATTAGCTATTGTTCCAAAGAGCTCTGGTTCATTTGATTAAAAAAATGGTATTTACAAACCGAGATCTGGGTGACAATTGTGCTCCTCATTATTGGGATATCATTGCTTTTCTGCCTCCTCAAAGAAGATAATCTTTTTAGAAAAGTTTTAAAGTACTGAAAGAATATAATAGTCTTTTCAAAGTTTTAGAGATAATTTGAGGAACTATGATGATGAACAACCACAACTATGTAAAAATTTACAATGGAAACTGATGCATAGTATTAAATTGGATATCAATGTATGAGGCACAAATATTATATTTTCCCCCCTAAATTTTAGTATAGACCTTACCCCCATTGAAGTTTTGCCTTTTTTTTTTTTTGTAGTAGTAGTTACCAGGCACATTTACAAATCCTGTTTAGCCCTTTAGAAGCTTTGTGAACAGCCCTTATGCATTAACTAGTTCTGACGTCACCATAGTAACAGCAAGCAGTGCGCACGCACTCATTTAAAGAGCCGAAGTGCTCTGCAGCCACTCAAACCCGCCCTCTTTCTCAGATCGCTCCGCCTCCGTGTAGCCGGGACGGCCCTGCTACGCCCTGCGGAATCTAAGTCACCAATCACTGCCCGCATTTCCCAGCCGTCATTGGCACGTGTCCCGGGTCAAAAGCTCGGGGGCGGGCCTCTGGTTTCGCGCATGCGCTGTTGTCCTCTCTCCCCACGCTGGTTCCGCGTCCTCTCGGAGTAGTTCCTCCGCCTGGCCTGGAGCGTCTCGTGTCTGGGGCTCTTCAGGCTGCCGCCGCTGCCGCCGCTGCCGCCGCCGCGATGGGCAAAACTAATGACTCTCGGAGTCCGGGAGCCCGGCCCGATCCGGTGCGGAGCTTTAATCGCTGGAAGAAGAAACACAGCCATAAGCAGAGCCAAAAGAAGCAGTTGAGGAAGCAGCTGAAGAAGCCCGAGTGGCAGGTCGAGCGCGAGGTTATCAGCCGCCTCATGCAGAACTACGAGAAGGTGAGGCCGGCGCTGGGGAGGGGGCGCAGGCCGCGGCTTATGCACGTGGGTGGGCCGGCAGCGAGGTTACGGGTCACTACGGCGATAGGCTGCTGAGGGGAGGGGGCTGACCAGTCACTGGAGACCGGACCTGGGGAGTCTGCCGTTTGTACACCAGGCTGAAGAAGGGAGTGAGGTGAGAGGTGCCATTGGGGGGTCCTCTTGAGGCCCTACAGGTGGTCGCCGGTGCCACAACTCTGGCCTTTTGACCGCTCTTTTGCTCACCACACTGTTCCTGATAAAGTGATGGAAATACAGTGATATTTAAGGGTAGGGAGATTAATGCTGTAATAGTACAGTAATATACATAATAATACTAATGATAACGATATTAATGACACCTACATTTTAAGCCACTCACCATGTGCTTGCATTATTTGGTTTGATCTGAGATAGGGTCTTATTCGCATTTTACAGATGAGAACGTGCAGTTCCAAGAGAATAAGAACTTGTCTTAAGCTCTTACGCTTGAGTGGTGTGGAATTGGACCCTAGATCCATGTCTTTCCGATTCCAAAGCCTTTGCTTTTAACCTTTAAGCCATACTTGCATGCCTTAACATCACCCATCTTTCTTCCTGTGCACATCCAAGAACTGGCATAGAAAAGCAGGACTCCTGGTCCATCTCTGGTACCTATCATCCCACATTGTTGCTGATGACTTAACATCACCCATCTTTCTTCCTGTGCAAATCCAAGAACTGGCATATCTCTGGTACCTATCATCCCACATTGTTGCTGATGTTCCTAGATGAGTTTCCTTGTAGTTACTATTTTGACTTCTTGACCTCTTTTCCTTTCAGGCTTCTTGGGACTGTCAGTACCCTTCTCCCTCCCCCTAATTCGTATGTCTGTTGACCTTCACCCGCCTTATTCAGCCTCTTAGTGATTGCCCCATGTAGTGCAGTATAATCAGGGATTTAACTTGTGGGACATTTCTGGAATTCAAGTTACCACGTGTTATGCTGGTATAGCTTTCCTTTAAACCCTTAGAAAACAGTGAGGTTAAATAGAGCATAGAGTTTGTTTTGGGCTTTTGAGTTAAGGTGATGATGATCTAATCCTGGCTTTGCTCACCAGATGAGTGACCTTGGGCAAGTTAACTTACCTTGTTGGCTTCCCTTTTTTTTTTTCTGGTCTTTAAAAGGCATGATAATATCTACTTTATAAGTTGTGGGGAGTTTGTAAGAATGCATGTAAAGCATTCTACGCAATCCCTGGCACATAAGTATTTCATATATTAGCTGCTATATTATTACTGCTATGGCTGTGTATATATATACACAGTACCTCAAAAAGCATTGAAAAGTAAATTACTGTTATATTGCAGTTTTGACTTTTCATCAGAGACTAGAATTGTTAAGGGGTATAGCCTCAGCCCTTGCTTCTCTTCACTATGCTTTCTTCCCTGGTGTAATTCCAAGGCTCATTCTTGTGGACCAGTGATTCCTTCCTATATTGTGCACAGAGCTCTTCTAATTTCATATCCTTTTTTTCTGCCTGTGCTGGATGTCTTTACCCATGTCATAGGATACCTTAAATGCTACAAGTCCAAAACTGAGCTTATTATCTTTTTCTTTTAAATTCATAATTCTTTGTATTAGTTCCCTATTGCCATTGTAACAAATTACCACAAACTCTGGGGTTTAAAACAACAGAAATTTATTTTCTCACAGTTCTGGAAGCCAGAAGTCTGAAATCAGTTTCACTGGGCTGAAATCAAGGTGTCAACAGGGCCATATTCCCTCTGGAGGCTGTAGGGCAAAATCTGTTTCTTGCCTCTTCTAGCTTCTGGTGGCTGTTAGAATTCCTTGGCTTGTGGCTGCATCAATCAATCTCTGCCTCCTTGGACACATTGCCTTCTCCTTTTCTGTGTCAAATCTACTTCTGCCTTTTTTTTTTTTTTTTTAAATAAGTACACTTTTGATCGCATTTGGGGTCCACCCAGATAATCGAGGATAATCTTCCCATCTCGATTATTAATCACATGTACAAAGTCACTTTGCCATGTAAAGTAACATTCACAGTTCCGAGGGTTAGGATATGGACATATTTGGGGACTTTTCTTTAACCTATCACATCCTAGTCCAACATCTAAGCAGACTGCTGAGCTTGAAGCCTAGGAATAATTCTAGAGACTTCCCTTTTACCATTCTTACATCTAATCAGTCACACTGGTGATCCGTTCTGCTTGTTAAATTTCTCAAATGCTGCTTTGTCTTAAATTCAGGCCCCATCATCTTTTGCCTGAATTACTCTGGCAGCTAAATAGGGGTCAGCAGCCTTTTTTTCGTAACAGACCAGATGGTAAACGGTTTTAGCTTTGCAGGTCAGATGCGTAGAGCTGCTCAACTCGGACATTTTAACAGAAAAGCTGACATGGAAATATTTAAACAAATAGATGTACAAGTTGTGTTCTAGCAAAACTTCAGTTACTAAAACAGTTGGCTGGTGGAATTTGGCCCTTAGGCCTTATTCCCCTCTATCCTCCATATTGCTGCTAGGATGAGTCTTTCCAAGATGAAAATATCAGGAGTAGCTTGACTCCTGATTAAAACATTTCCTTGGCACAGTTACTTTCAGGAAAATGGCTAAATACTTTAATGTGTCAACATGCTCTAGTCCAATGAAAAAGTAAGTTATTTGCGGTCAGGTGGACCTGGCTTAAATATCACTCAGTTTGGGTATTGACTCACCATGTTTCTTAATGTTCCTGAGTCTCAGTTTCTTCATTCAACAGAGATGATTAACCACCCAGAGTGTCATAAGGCTCAAAGGAGATAATGTATGTAAACCAAGCAGTCTGTGATAGGCATACATGAAAAAACAGCTTGCAGTTTGGTGAATTGTCCATGCTCCTCGATGCTTCTCATTCTGGTACTTGATGTTCTCACTGCAGTGAGCACCTTCATTCCTCCATTCTAGGGACTTGCCCTTCAAGATTTAAGTTTCTCTTCCTGCCCTCCCTCGGTAGAGTTAGCACTGCTGTACATCTGTAGCATTTTGTATACACTTTTGTTATAGCATTTATTACTAGGCTGTGATGATTGGCTTCTTTGTTTAACTTCTTTGTTCATCCTCCCACTAAACAATAAACCATAAAAAAGGTCAGAAGCCATTGGTACTCACCTCTGCTCTCCCCAGAGACTAGTTACACAGTGCTTGTCCTTGAGTAGGTACTTGGTGTTGAGATATTGTTTGGTGCACAATGACCTTTTCCACATGGCCTTATTCTAGTTGATAACATTAGTCCATTCTTTTGGTCTCTTATTTTAAATTGCTGACACTTACCAAGCTTTTATATGTGTTGACTTGCCATGTCTTCAACAACCATATGAGATTGTTTACATTATATAGGTAGGAAACTTTAAGGCACAGCAAAGTTAAACGGTAAGTGAAAAAGCTAGTACGTGAAAAGTTCTAACCCAGGTAGTCTAGGTCTGACACCAGAGCTCTAAACCACTACCCTTTACTGCGCTGCAGTGCACAAATGTTTAAATCTGTCTTTTCATTAAGTTGTAGCAATTCCTCCCCCTCCCCAATTATTACTGTTTTACTTTTTAAAATCTTCGATATAGTTTCTTAAGACTTTGTCAAGAAATAAATGCAGTGTGAAATCAATTGCCAGGTCTAGTAATACTAGATTACATCAAAGCAGATTCGTTGTTCTCTATGTAACTAAGGGGGGACCCTCACCGAATGGTTCCTCAGATGGTAGCATTTGTTCATAAAACTTTTATTATACTGCTGCAGTACACAGGTGGTGCTCAGTAGCCTCACTAGTGAAATACTGAGCAATTTTATTCAGAAACATTTTGAAAAAATTTGACGGATACTTATTAAGGCCTAAGTAAAAATAGGTGGAAAAAGAATTCATGTCTGTCTTCCTTTGAAGGTGGGGTGGGCTTGATACATTTTGACAGATGTTTTAATAATGAATAAATAATAATAATAATATGTATAGTGCTGTGGTGTATTAGGGGAAAAAGGTTGAGTTATCCTGTACAGTGTCCTTTCTGGCCAGATGAATTAGAAAAAGCATGTTTTCTCAGCATACTACTACTCTTCCTCGTTGTAGTTGCATCCTTAGGCTTGGCTTGTGGAGCTGGATTTCAGCCACATACTTGAACCTTACCTGATACCTTTGTGTAGTGCATGAACTTTTCAGTGGTTTGTGGTAGCTGTAAATGGAGCTAGTTCTTGAATGAAGCGTTTCTCCAGATAGAAAAGATTGGCAAGGACATAGTAGAAGGAGTAACATGAGTAAAGATAAAAAGATGTGAAAATACATGGTGTTCTTCGAAGGGGGAAATACTCCTTGGAGTGTGGTAGGTGTTCCTGAACTGGCTTCAAATGAGATTGGAAAAGAGGGAGGTGGACTGTGAATGGTTTAGGAGTCTGTAGTAGGTAGAATAATGGCCTCCTAAAGATGTCTAAATCCTGGTCCTGTGAATATCCTTAGAACCTGTGAATAAATTACGTGGCAAGGGGTAATAGATGTCTAATCAGCTGACCTTAAAATAGGGTGATTGATCTGGGTTATCCAGGTGGGCCTAATTAATCAATCAATCAATCACAAAGGGCCCTTAAATGAGGGAGCTGAAGAGTCAGTGACAGCATTCTGTGAAGTGAGAGAGACTTGTTCATCCATTGTTGGTTGGCTTTGAAGATGGAATGTGGGGAGCCTCTAGAAGCTGGAAAAAGCAGGAAAATGGATTCTTTCCTAAAATTACCGGTAAGAATGCAGCCCTGCTAACACTTTGATTTTAGCTGAGTTAGACACATTTTGGTGTTCTGACTTTTATAAATGTAAGTTAATAAATTTATGTTGCTTTAAGCCACTATTTGTGGAAATTTGTTACAGCAGCAGTAGGAAATTTATACAAAGGCTATACTCAGAAACTATCTGGCAGTTAGAAAACATATCCAAGCTACAAGTGGTCTAGAGGATAAGAGACCAGGTTAGGAGGTCTTGGGAACTCTGAGTGGCAGATGCCATGATGTGATTAAGTTAATTGGAGATTTTTTTGGGGGGGAAATGTCTATGGAGGTGAAGAGAAATATGGAAAGAATGGAAAGAGGAGCAGGTAGGGAGAGTCAGGGTATAGCAGTTTTAAGAGCTTAGATGGAGGAGGTTCCTCAAGCCAAAGTTGCCCATTAGAGGAATCCCTTGTCCTGCTAGAATGGACATGCAACCATACTGCTGCTGTGTTCAGTTGTTGGTAGCAGGCCAGGGAAGCATGGCATTTTCAGTGGTGGATCGAGGGAGTGACTCCTGGCATTATCAGTCAGTCGTGCTCCCTGGAGCAGGAGATCTGGGTTATGTATTTGTAAGGCCACCATGTAGGATCTGTGTTCTGGAGGAGCTGATAGAGAGTTGGAGACTGAAGCTTCGAGAGAGCTATTTTAGTTCAAGAACTGTTTTCACTGTTGAAGAATCACTCAATCTCTCTTTACCTGGGATGCATTTAGACTTATCATAATCAGCTGTGCTATATAGGCACTGCATTCTAATCCTGGTTTCTTTTTTTCTTAAGAATTTCATGTGGTGTAATTTGATGCAGATTTCTTTTGATTGCAATAGGTGGAACACCAAATTAGATTGGACCTGTGGACCATAGTTTGCTGACCCCTGTTCCAGAGCATCAGTGGAATAAAATTTTTCTTTGGTTCTTTGGTTTTAGGAGGTTTTTATACTTTCTTCTGCTTTGGGATGTAAAAGCATTATTTACTTTTGTGAGAAAGGACAGATACCTTGGAGACATTGCGGGTTCAGTTCCAGAGCACCGCAATCAAGTGGGTCGTAATTTTTTTGCTGGTGAAGGGTCTTCAGTTGGTTAAAAACACAACATCTGTGATGTATAAATAAAGTGAAGCGCAATAAAATGAGGTATGCCTGTGATAGGAGAGTGGTGAAGTGGTACCCACCCTGTTCTTCACTCTGTCTCCCTCCAGCTTTTCTACCACCTTTGGGAAGTTTTTAACAAGTACCATCATCGAAACATTTGTTTTTGGATTTCAGAAGAATGCTACAGATTTTAGAGGGAGTGTGAAGGTTGGGAAGACAGGAGTGATTTTTTTCTAAGAAAAGAAAGGAATGAAGGGAAGGGGAAAGAGAATGTTATTTTGTTTTAGGAACCATAGCCATCTTCCACTCTGGTTTCTAAGTATTCCTTGGAATATAATTGAGAGTCTTCTGGAATAGGGTCAGCAAACTTTTTCTGTAAAGGGCCAGATAGTCAGTATAGGCGTACCTTGTTTTTTTGTGCTTTGCTTTATTGCACTAAACAGGTTTTGTGTTTTTTGCTAATTGAAGACCCTCCACCAGCAAAAAGATAACTAGCTTTATTGTAATACTCACCTTATTGCTGTGATCTAGAACTGAACTCACAGTGAACTGGAGGTATGTATTAGTCTTTGTGGGTCATACGGTTTCTGTCTTAACTACCTCGACAATATGTAAATGTCTCTTTGCCATATCTACATAGACAATATATAAATGAATGGCTGTAGCTGTGCTCCAGTAAAACCGTATTTACAAAAACAGGCACCAAATTAGATTGGACCTGTGGACCATAGTTTGCTGACCCCTGTTCCAGAGCATCAGTGGAATAAAATTTTTCTTTGGTTCTTTGGTGACTTCTTTCTAAGACTGGGATATAGCTTTATATTGTAATGGCTGAATGAATGCTGGAACAGTTTTATTCTTCCAGACTCTCCCTCTATGAGGTTAACAGATTTTAGAAAGATGCACATTATTTCATTTGAATAGCCCACTTTACCTATGTTTTATTTCTAATGGGGATTGAAGAGTGTGTTATCTGTCTAGCTCCTTCTGTAAGCAGCTTTTTAGCTGACAATAGCACAAGAGCAAGGATGGACCGCACCTAATTTTAATGTCCTGTTTGGGAGATTACCTTCTAAATGAGGTAATTTTCTCCTAATACTAGTACACTGATTCTGCTTCCTTTCCAGTGTTATCTGGAATGATTTGCAGAGATTAAGTCTATGGTTTAACATTTGTGTTTTCAGCATTTTAGTCCAGAGAGTAACCCTGTATGGGCTATATTATGCGTCTCGGGAAAGATGTGTAGACTGTAAAATACAAGCTGTTATCCCTTTACTGCCTGCAGTGTAATTTAAATAAACGAACCATACAAATACAGCTTTCCTCTTTTGCGAATCATGAATAATTTGGCAGCCTATTCCCAGATCTGAACAGTAGTTTTTGCTTTCACCATCCGTAATAAAGTAATTCTTCTGAGCAGCCAAGATGAAATTCAGAAATTGGGTTGATGCTAATGAAGAACATAAGTAATGCATATTTAGATAATGTAAAGTTAAAGGACAAAATGTTACTTATTGTGGCTTCACTGTGACAGACACTTCCGCCGGTTATATTTAAATAATACCTTTTAGTATACTCTGAAATGAGTAGTTGTCAGGTTGGATTTCACATGCCACTGATTTATTGTTAAAACTTTGAAAGGTGTGTACTAACAAGATAAATTTCTCCAGCTCACTCCAATCTATTCTCTAAAGTGTGTAACTAGAACTATTCTCAATGCGGTCTGTGGTTTATAGTCATTTTGACCCTTATTTCTTCAACTGATATTCCTTAAAGGATATGCTAAAAGTAAATTTTCTTCCTAAAATTGACACGATTATGACTTATTGTGTTAACATTTTAGAGATGAAGGATGTTCAGAGTAGTAGTATGTGTGTTGAGTGAATAAAGTTTTTTTAAACACCAGTTTAAAATAGTTACAAACTTATATTTTTGATAATAGCTTCATCAAGGCATATTTCCTTTCAGAAGAAATGATGATTTTTTTGAAGTAATGATTAAGTTAAATCCTGCAGCACAATGTAGAGAAAAAAGTGGTTTTGTTATAAAACAAATCAATTATATGATGTTATTTAGTTTTATCTGACATAGTCCCCTTTTTCTTTTCAGATAAATGTTAATGAAATTACAAGATTTTCAGATTTCCCCTTGTCTAAAAAAACATTGAAAGGTAGGTAAATGTTAGATTTCTTTATGCTTTTCATAAATGGAAAAAAGATTTAGAAACAGTTTAACTTGACAAATCTTGTTTCGGCAAGTAATTTTAATACCACGAAAACCTACAATAAGAAACAATTAAGTAGCATGGTGGTGTGAGAAGACTCTTCATAATAAAGACCATATATGACAGACCCTCAGCTAATATACTCAGTGGTGAAAAATGGGAAGCTTTTCCTCTAAAAATTAGGAATAAGACAAGGATGCCCAGTGTCACTACAGTTATTCATAGTGCTGGAAGTCCTAGTCAGAGCAATTAGGCAAGCGAAAGAAATAAAAGGCATCCAAATTGGTAATGAAGAAGTGAAATTGTTACTTTTTGCAGATGACATGATTCTTTATATAGAAAACCTTGAAGACTCCACCAAAAAACTATTAGAAACAATAAACAAGTTGCAGGATATAAAATCGATGTACAAAAATTTGTTGCATTCTTATATATTAATATGAAATATCAAAAAGAATTCCATTTGCATTTGCAACAAAAAGAATAAAATACCTGAGAATAAACATAACAAAAGGTGTGAAGGATTTATACCACTGAAAACTATAAGACATAGTTGAAAGAAATGGAAGAATACACAAAGAAATGGAAAGATATTCTGTGTTCATGGATTGAAAGAATCAACGTAGTTAAAACAGCCATATTACCTAAACCAATATATAGATTTAATGCCATGCATATCAAAATCTCAATGGCATTAAAAAAGATAGAACAAAAAAATTATCAAATTTGGAGTCTTTTGTGGTTCCATACAAGTAGCCAAAGCAATCCTGAAAAAAAGGGCAAAACCAGAGATTTCATACACCTTGACTTGCGATTATACTACAAAGCTACAGTAATCAAAACAGCATGGTATTGGTAGAAAAACATGTACAGAGACCAATGGAACAGAATTGAGAGCCCAGAAATCAACCCACATGTATATGGGCAACTAATTTTTGACAAAGGAGCCAAAAACATGCAAGGGAGAAAAGAAAACCTATTCCATAAACGGCATTGGGAAAATTGGAAAGCCACATGTAAAAGACTGAAACTAGACTGTTATTTGACACCATATACAAAATTAACTAAAAATGGATCAAAACCTAAATATAAGATCTGAAATGATAAAATACATAGAAGAAAAAATAGGTAGTAAACTTATGGACCTGGGTCTCAGAGAATATTTTATGAACTTGACCCCAAAGGCAAGGGAGCTAAAAGTAAAAATAAATGAATGTGACTATAAAAATAAATTAATGGGGACTACATAAAATTAAAAAGCTTCTGTACAGCAAAATGGCAACCAACCAAATGGGAGAAGATATTTGCCAACAATAACTCTGATAAGAGGCTAATATCCTAACTATATAAAGAACTCATACAACTCAACAACAAAACCAGTCTTATTTAAAAATAGGCAGAGGGCCTGAACACTTTTCCGAAGAATCAAATCAAAACCACAGTGAGATACCACTTGTTATAATGGTTGTTATCAATAAGACGAGAAATATCAAGTGTCGGTGAGGAAGTGGAGAAAAAGGAACTCTCATATATTGCTAGTGGGAATGTAAATTGGTACAGCCACTTTGGAAAACAGTGTTGAGATTCCTCAACAAATTAAGAATAGAGCTACCATACGACCCAGCAATCCTTTTTCTGGGTATCTACTAAAAATTTGAAAATATTTAATCAAAAGAATATATGTTCCCCTATGTTAATTGCAGCATTATACATGGTGGCTAAGTGTCCTTCAGTGAATGATTGGATAAATAAGATGGGGTAAATACACACACACACACACACACACACACACACACACACACATACACACACACACACAATGGAATATTACTCAGCTGTAAGAAAAGATGAAATACATGACAACATGGATGAATCTTGAGAGTATCATGCTAATTAAAATAAGTCAGACAAAAAAGGACAAGAACCATATGATTTCAAAACTCATTATGTGAGATGTAAAACAGAAAGCAACAAACTCACAGGTAACAGAAGGGTGGTTACCAGAGGGGAAGCGGGTAGGGGGAAGATAGAGAGAGTAAAGGGGGTCATATTTGTGGTGGGAGACTAGACTTTGGGTGGTGAACACAATGCAGTATACAGGTGATGTGTTACAGAACTGTACACTTGAAATATATAATGTTACAAACCAGCGTCACCCCAATAAACTTAAACAATTCATTTAAGTTTTACCAGTTTGTGATCATTCTTTCTGGACTAAAGAACAATAGTGAAAAGACAAGATGATAGGGCCTCTGAACAATTAAAATAAAACCTAATTATGTTAAAATACTTAAGAGAACAAACAAAATTGCGACAGCTTTTATATTGGTTTGTGAGTAAAACGAGAACAAAATACCACAAACTAGATGGCTTAAACAATAGAAATTTATTTTCTCACAGTTTTGCGGCCTGGAAGTCAAAAGATCAAGATGCTGGCAGGGTTGATTTCTTCTGAGGGTCATAATGGCTTACAGGTGGTCTCTCCTTGGCTGCCCTCTTGCTGCCTCTTCACAGGGTTTTCCTTCTGTACACTTACACCCCTAAGTGCCTCTTTGTCCAAATTTCCCCTTCTTGCAAGGATACTAGTTAGATTGGATTAAGGTCTACCCTAATGGGCTCATTTTAACTTAATCACCTCTTTAAAGGCCCTGTCTCCAAATATAGTCACATTCTAAGGTACTGGAGTATTAGGGCCTCAATGTGCGTGTGTGTGTGTGTACGTGTACATGTATGGAGGGCACACAGTTAAGTCCATAATACTGTTCTATAGGAATTTTCTGAAGTGTCATTCTTATCCCCTTTACACTTGCAGGTTTGCAAGAAGCCCAGTATCGTTTGGTAACTGAGATACAGAAACAGACCATTGGATTGGCTTTGCAAGGTAAAGATGTTCTCGGAGCTGCCAAAACTGGATCTGGCAAGACTTTGGCTTTCCTTGTTCCAGTAAGTAGTTTATTCATATTGGGTCAGATTCTCTCTTCCATGATTTTCAAACATTCTGTGCCTAGATAGAAATAAATATTTATGTAAAAAGTTGTTTCGTGTTGAGTTTTCCTGGCTCGAATGCAAGCTTTGTCAGACAGGTGCCACATCTGTTTTGTTCTTCACTGTATTCCTCAGGTCCTATAGCATAGCACCTTGTACATGGTGAGCAGTCAGTAACTTATTGAATGAATTATCGTGCCTTGACAAGCCATTACATTTCTGAAGGATGTAGGGTGTTCCAGGCTGGCAGGTCAGAAAGGTTCTGCTTTGCTGTAAGACCAGGAGAGAAGGCCGTTTCTCTGTTCAGCCTGGCAAACCTCCCAATGGCATTTATGTTTGCCACTTGTTTAGGATAAAGGTGAAATGTGCTCACTTTTAGAAGACTGGGTTACTTGAGGATTTCCTGGGATAGTGATATCTGTCCTTTATAGCAGCAAAATAATAGAAGCTCTTAGGAATTCACTTGTATCTCACTTATGCAGTTGGTGTCATAATTTAATTTCTACAAAATAATTGGCTTAGAAAAATCATTTGAGATTTAGTTTCAAGTGTTGGAAAACCATTTTTCTCTTAAATTTTAATTTTTTATAGCGATGTCACGCCCCAACTAGATAATTTCGCTGTGTAACTACAGCAGCTGCACAGATGAGAGTTTGTTTTAATGTGGTTCCTATTCAGAAAATGGTACACATATTTTTCTGAAATCCATTTTAAAAGTCTGTGGGCTGCACATACCTTTTACTGATTGTCAGTTTCCTCATGGCATGGCTCTGGCAGCAGCTGGGGCTTCTTTTCCCTTCCCTCTATGATTTGGGAGAGGATGCTTCTGGTGGATGGAAAAAGAAAAACCAAAGCAAACAATTTCTTCTTTTTGATTGGATAAAACTCATGACTGGTATGCCTTCCGCTTGGAAGGTGCCTGTGATCCGGAGTGGCAAGGTCGACTCAGGAATCAAAAAGCTGCCTTCTCTAAGAACTTATTGAACACGACTTGCTGTCTTTTTCCGAGGTGCTTGAAGCCTTATATCGTCTGCAGTGGACCTCAACTGATGGGCTGGGGGTTTTGATTATATCACCTACAAGAGAGCTGGCCTATCAGACCTTTGAGGTTCTTCGAAAAGTAGGAAAGAACCATGAGTTTTCGGCTGGTCTCATCATTGGTGGAAAGGTTTGTCTTCTTGTCCTTGTCTTTCTTTCTTTTATTCTGTAACTTATGTTGGAGCACTGTGGCAGTTGACTGGGAAGAGGTGGAGATTTCATCTAAACAGGCTGGCCCATTAGAGAGGGGGTGATAGCATCTTGGTGTGGTCACTGACTTGTAGAGTCTGGTTGTCAATTTTATAGGTCCAAAATGTCCATTTTGTCAGAGTATCTGAATTGATCAGGTTCTGAGACTAATTTACTCTACCAACCTGTTACTGGGAAAGGTGCCATTTCAGTATGTGGACTAGTGCCTTTTAATACAGAGTCTAAGAGGTTGAATTTCAGAACATTGCTGAGTCAGCAGCAGAAGAAAGGAAGATAGAAGATAGTTTTGAGGAATGTTTATTTTAGGTCATGGTAAAACCTGCTGCTCAGCTTCAGTACCTTTTAGCATACCTGGAATGTTTGTGTCTGCTAGACTTTCTACAATGCGAGGTTAAATACCTGAATTTTTGAATTTATATGCAAATATACGTAACAAAAGAAAGAATAACATAAACCTTCACATACCCATGTACCTGTCACCCAGCTTTAACAATGAACATTCTGTAGTTAATGTTTCAAGGAGAGAAATAGGTAAGCTCTTTCTTTTTGTAGTCCACAAAGTATAGTGAGTGGTGTCAGAGGGCCTGTTCAGTCAGTGCCCCTGGATCCTGACCTTAAGAATGGGAATAATCTGGTTTTTAAGTTAGTTCTAGTAGTCCTAAGAAAAAATCAAGAGTTGGAGCATTCATATAATATTTTTCTTGGCCTCAAAATCCTGCATTTGATTAAGAATCTATAGAAACTCTGAGCTCTTTAGTCTTCACTGAAGACATTTATTTGGCCCAGAAATTTGGATGTGCTACAGAAATAGAAGGGAGAAGGTTACATTTATTTCTAGAGTATCTACATTGCTTTGCTGAAATGCCACATGCAGATGGCTTTTATAGTTTTATTACACAGGCTGCTTGGTGATGCATCTGTGTAATCAAAAGAAACAACTGTTTTTAGGATCTGAAACACGAAGCTGAGAGGATCAACAACATAAATATACTCGTTTGTACACCGGGGCGACTTCTGCAACACATGGATGAAACAATATGTTTTCATGCCACCAATCTCCAAATGTTAGGTGAGTCTAATGAATATTTAATGAAAAGTATCTCAACTTAGAGAGCCCTCATAAATTTTAATGATAAAATGTTTTATCGAATAAATATGATTAAAAACATTCTGAGACATAACTTGATTTTTTTGGCATGTGGATTCTAAACCCAGAGAGTACAGTTAGACTTTTTAAAATCAAAATAGTCAGAAGAATATGTCTTGTTGTATATGAAATTAGATATTTCAGTATTTGATACTGTTAAGAGTATTTTTTTAATCTTAAGGTGCATCTGCTATCGATGGTGTTACTTAATATGTATTTTTTAAATCAACTCTTTATTTTAGAATAATTCTAGATTTATAGAAAAGTTGCAGTGATTGTACAGAGTTCCTCTATATCCCTCCCCCTAGTTTCCCCTAGTATAACATCTTAAATAATTGTGGCACCTCTGTCAAAACTAAAAGATGTACATTATATAAATTCCATACTTTATTTGGATTTCACCAGTTTTTCCATTAATGTTCTTTTTCTGTTCTAGGATCCAGTCCAGGATATCATATTGCATTTAACCTAATGTATATTTTAAATATTGTAATTCAACTAGTGTTTTCCCTTTTTAGTTCTTGATGAGGCAGATAGAATCTTGGATATGGGCTTTGCTGATACCATGAATGCTATTATTGAAAATCTTCCCAAGAAACGTCAGACTTTGCTTTTCTCAGCTACACAAACCAAATCTGTAAAAGATCTTGCACGCTTGAGTTTGAAAAACCCCGAATATGTCTGGGTTCATGAAAAAGCAAAATACAGGTATGCACTATTTGAAACAATATTTGATTCAACAAGAAATTGGTGTTCTCTCTTTTCAGTTAAGAATTTGATATTCAAATTCAACTACTGTTATGGGACACAAAACATTTTATGTGTTATTAGATATGCAAAGCATAGTAAATGTATTAGTAAAAATTATTAAATTCTAGATGCATGTGAGAACATTCATGTAATATTTCTCGAAATGTGTCTGGGGAACAAATATTTTTTCTTAAGATGTTAACAAGTATTTATTCACTAATTATTCCTCATAAAATAGTGGCGGACTGGGGTAGAGAGATGCATTCCTAGGTAGGTAAATAGCAAATGCTGAGTTAGCGTAAAACAATGTTCTTCAAGACTTTTCAGAACCTTTAATATTTTTGTAGACATTGTGATTATCCAAAGCATTGGAAATTAATATAGCTTCCTGCATTTACCAAAATTATTCGTGTACAGAATCATTCTTTTTAGCTATGTTATATAGGACTAATGTGCTATGGAACATATTTTATCAAGTGCATTAATATTTAGCAAAATACCTTCTGTTTAAAATGTTCCAGCAACTGTTGTTTTATCTTGGTTTCACTAAAAACTGGAGAGTAAGGTATGCTTGTTCATGTGACAATGAAGTTTGTGTGTGTGTGTGTATGATATGTATAAATGGGTTAAAGGATATTTGTTTTAAAGTGTATTTTGATATGATAGCTGGAATTGTATGTATGTTTGGGTTGAATCATAGACTCTGGATATATTTGACTTTTAGAAATGTTTTCCAGTGAATATGAGTTGAATGTGTTGAAAATCTCAATACGAATTCATCGCTACCATTATTTCTATCTCAATTGTCCTTTCTTGCTGTGAAATGTCAATCTAAAAAGAAAGTTGGGAAAATGAATTAGGTCATCCTCTTGGAAAGTCTTTAAATGTAGGGAGTATGGGCAATCAGTCCCATCTTGGCCTTGACCTAGCTAATGGATATCTAACTGAGACTTAAAAAAAGCCTAAGAGGCCAGACTCTGCTTCCAGCTAATCTAATAGATCAACTTTGGAGATTCCAAGTACTGGTAGCTTTGGTTAGGAAGAACTCAGGAATGGAATAGCAAGAGATACTTGAGGTATAATTTCCTCCTTGACTTACTTCTGAGTAGACATTGGTTTTTATACAGTTGTGTTGACATAGCTATGGGAAATTCTTGGTATAGTTAATTTGATACTCCAAAGACTGTCCAGGTCTTTTGATTTTCTTCTTTGTTCTTTTTGCTGTTTGCTTACTGCTTATTTTCAAAACTCATTAGCGTCTTTACCAGACACTAATTTATCAATCATTAGATGGTCTCTAAAACCTTTAGTAATTTATATAGGTTAATTGTACATATTAACCCTATACTCAATTTCCATAGATAATGGTTGGTTATCTGTAGTTCATAGTTAGAAAAAATTTAATCCAAAGAACTGTTTATTTCATAAATGATTTTCAAAATGCTGTTTCATCATTTGTATAAAATGTGGGTTTCAGAAAACATTTTAGAAGGCAGATCTTTAGTGACATAATTTACAAAACTGCAGGTTATACAATAATGACTGCAGTACTCTGTAATCTCATATCTACCAGAAGCTGTATAAAAAGTCAATGCTGTTGTGAATTTTGTCTAATGTCATTGTTGAATTTTCCCCTTTAGCAACTTAGCAATGGTTAATATACCATGAGAAATTATAGTCAGGAATATAGTCGAGAAAATTTTAAGGCATTATAGAGTATCTGCTCTCAAATTGGAACGGACCAGAAAAATAAGTTAAAATTTAGATCTTTCCGAAGCTGTGTATCAGAATATACTAAGAAAGTGTACCAGTGTGTTTTCTTTATACATGTATTGCTATATTTAGTGAAATGGTGCTTCTGTATATTTTAAGAGAAAATAGTTTTCTTTGGGCCACAGCGATTTGCCGTTTTACAGTAAATATAAATTGAATTCTGTGGTAAATCATGAAACATTTTAAATTTAAGATAGATTTTCTGAGCTTTGTTATTGGGCGCATACAAATTTAATATTTTTTTTCCTGTTAATTTAAATCACTAATCATTACGAAATGTGCCTCTTTATCTTAATAGTTTTTGCCTTAAAAGTCTAGTTTGATAGTAGTCTACCTATAGCAATTTTCTTTTGATTAGTGTTTGCTTGGTCAATCTTTTCTTTTTACTTTTTACATTGTATATGCCTTTATTTTAGTTTTGTCTTTGTAAACAGCATATTCTATTTTTATTTAATCTGGTATGATAATTGCTTTTTAACTGGAATTTGTTTACATTTAACCTATCCTATTATTTGTTCATTTACTCCTTTCCACTGTGCTTTCATTGTGAAGTTTTTTAATTTCACACATTTTTGGCCCCATAAAGCCTTATTATTAGAAGCAGCAGTACTTATTTAAACCTACTCAAATGCTTTTTTTTTTGTCTGGTATTTTTTTTTCTTGTGTTGTGCTCAAAGAATTTCTTTATAGTTCAGTTTTGCTAGTGAAAAATTCTGTTTTGACTTCTGAAAATATTTTATTTTCATTTTGAAGGATATCTTGGCAGGCTTTTTTCTCTTTCACTTCAGAGATATCTTTCTGTTTTACCCTAACTTCTATTTTTGTTAAAGACAGCTGACAGTTCTTTGTTCCTTTTGAAGGTAATGTGTGGTTTTTAATATTTTCTTATCTTTGGTTCTTAGCAAAACCATGAAAGATGTCTTTTTATGGCAGGAGATGTGTTAAGGACTTTGATCTGGGCTAGCTGGCTTCTAGACTCTGGGGCTATTCTATTTCTGTTTTGCCCTTAGTCCCGGAGTATAGCCCTCACTCAGGGGGCATAGTTCTTTTGGGGGCCTCAACTGAAAGACGGGTATTTACCAGAGCCCTTCACCTAGGCAGGCTCTGAATTTAGTGGCACTGTGAGACTGTCATGATTTCTGCTAAACTCTGAGCTTAGCAGTTCCTTTTTCTTCACTCATTTTTGTCTTGTGCGTTCAGGGTTTAAGAGTTGACATACTCTTCATAGGGAAATTGTGTGAAGAATTTCAGATTCAGATTTTTCACTGTTCCTACTCTAGGATCTTAAAGTGACATGTTTGGACCTAAGGCTGCTACTTTATCTCTCATCTATCAGACAAATTAGCAGGTGCTTTGAAGGAATAGTGGAGATTAATATGGAGCTTGCATCAGGGCATTTCCATTTTCTCCTTCAGGACCTCAAGTCCTAGCTGCCTTGGTGACTCTCTGATGCCCTCAGTATTTTTTTTTTTTTTTTAATTTATATTTAATCCAGTTTTAGTGGTCAGTGATGGTTATTGTTTAGATCCTTATTTCATTAGGATTTACAAAATTGTGATATTCTGATTCTGTTATTTCTTAACTGGGATACTTTTATATCAAAAAACTTTCCCATACCAACAGTTACTTTGTTATGAGGTACAGTTCTTACAAGAAGGTCAGGATACATGCTTCATTCTCTTTATTTCACAGTTTTTAGTCTGAAGAGATACTTCCCTAACATTTTCCAAAGGTGAGCAGTTCTTTTTTTTTTTTAAATTAAAACGAAATCAGACTTATTGACATTTATGATGTTATTTACTGTTATTACCTCATACATTTAAACATACTATCTTGTTTGTCTTTCAGTAGAAATTATTCCTGTATTTTTTGTCTTTATTGAAATATAATAGACTAGTTGCCTGCATTTACACTGTACAATTCAATGAGTTTTTTTCACTTATAGTTGGCATGTAGCACACCAGCCTCAGCTGTACAGCATATTGATCAGAAATCCACACAACTCGCAAAGCACTCACCCTACCAAATCTAGCACCCCTCCTTCCCTCCACATATTCAGTCCAGCATTATTAACCATCTTCCCCATGCTATCTTCTACATCCCCATGTCTACTCTGCAAACATCCACCTGCACCTCTCAGTCCCTTTGCTCTTTTTCCCTGCAACACCCCTTCCATCTAGTGTCCCTCAAAATATTCTCTGTATCTATGAGTTTATTTCTGGTTTTGTTATTGTTGTTGTTGATTTTGTTCTTTAGATTCCACATGTACGTGAAATTATGCGACATTTGTCTTTATCTGACCCATTTCATTCAATGTAATACCCTCTTGGTCCATCAAGGCAATATCTTTTTCCATCCCCTTCCTTTTAGTCTGTGCGTGTCCTTTAATCTGAAGTGAGTCTCTTGTAGGTAGCATATGTAGGGGTCTTTTTTTCTTATCCATTCAGCCACTCTATCTTTTGGTTGGAACACTTCATTCTTTTCCATTTGAGGTACTTGTTGAGAAGAACATAGTTATTGCCATTCTTTATTCTTGTTTTTGATACATGTTTCTTCTTCTTAGAGAAGTCCCTCCAACATTTCCTGTAATACTGGCTTGGTGGTGATAAATTCCTTTAGCTCATTTTTGTCTGAGAAGCTCTTTATCTGTCCTTCAACTCTAAATGATAGCTTTGCTGGATAAAGTATTCTTGATTATAGATCCTGGGTTTCATCCCGTCGAATATTTTGTGCGAAGCCCTTCTGTTGTGCATAGTTTCTGTTGAGAAATCAGCTGTCAGTCTTATGGGTGCTCTTTTGTAGGTAACTATCTGCTTATCTCTTGCTGCTTTTAAAATTCCATTGGCCTTTTAAGTATGATGTGTCTTGGTGTTGACCTCTTTAGATTCCTGGTTTTTGGGATTCTCTGAGCATCCTGGGGTTTCATATCTATTTCCTTCGCTAGGTTAAGAAAGTTTTCCATCATTATTTCTTCAAATAGCTGTTCAACGCCTTGTTTTCCCTCAGGTCCCCTGATGACACGGGTATTTTTACCTTTAATAGTGTCTAATAGGCTCCTTAAATTGTTATTATAGTCTTGGCTTCTTTTTTCTTGCCATTCTGATTGAGTGTCCTTGGCTTTCCCATCCTCTATATAGGTCATTTGATTCTCTTCTTTATTCACTTTGTTTATTCCATTTAATATACTTCTCATCTCAGATAATGTGTTTTTCATTTCTGACTGATTCTCTTTTATAATTTCCATTTTTATCTCTTTGTTGAAGTTGTCACAGAATTCTTCTACCCTTCCCCTAAGTTCACTGAGCATCTTTATAGCTAGTGTTTTGAATTCCGCATCTGTTAGCTATCTTGACTCCATTATTTCTGTATTTCTGTTCTGTTCTCTCATGTGGTTTCTGCTTCTTTGTCTTCCCATTTTGGCTGCCTTTCTGTGTCTATTTCTGTGTACTAAGCAAAGCTCCTAAGTCTCCCAGTCTTATTAGTGTGAATTTGTGAAGTAGGTGTCCAGTGGCACAGTCTTGAGAGGAGTTCAGTGACAGGCCAAATTTAGCCCAAGCCTGTGCCATTCAGGGCCTCCTGTTAAAATTCAGCAAGCAATCGACAGATTGCTGTGCTTATAGTTGCCTCTAATGGCCACACCAGAAACCAAGGCCAACTGCCGCCAATGTGAGTCTAGGCATTGCTCAGCAACGAGCTCAGCAACAACGAGCACCTGACTCTTTGAGAATATACCTGGATGTGGCTAGGGTGTGGCCGTGAGTTGGGGGGAGGTGGAGTTTCAGGGAATTCTCTGGGCGGAGCAACCTCTGTTATCCAGTTCGATGACATCTTTGCTACGGCAGTGTTGAGTCTGTGCACTGGGAGCGGGTAGTGCTCAGCAGAGGAACAGTAATATCACTGGCAGTCCCAGGAAGAGAGCCTCACCATGACCCTAACTCCGACAACTCAGTGTCGTACTATAAGTCCCTATGCAGCTGAATCAGCACTAGTGCTCAGAGTGAGGTCTGTCACCGTGGAAGTCCTCTCAGAGACTCGGCCCCCTTAAAAGGTGTCTGCAGCTGCTGTTGCTGCTGCAGCAGCCTCCATCCCATTCAGCCATTTGGGCCCGGGCGGCCTTACGTCCTCGCCCAACCCTACCTTCTGCCATTGCAGGGTGATTTCTTAGATTTCTCCCTAGTTGTATAGCTTGTTCATCTAGCTCCCAAGAGATTTTCCCTTGCTGTTTGCTCCTTGTTTCTGTCACAACTTTGATTTGGTTGCCAGAGGGATGAACAGAGCCTCTGTCATCTACACTATTTCCCACCTCCCATCTATTACTGTATTTTTAATACTCAAATTGTCTTGTATCCTTCCAAACTTGGTTAGTAGGAAGTTCTTCAATTTGTTACCTGGATCTTTTAGACACATCCCAGTAGTCTTTGGCTTCCTTGCTTTCTGGTGTTCAAGGTTCACCGTATGTTTCCATCCCATATAAAATTCTTTGGGCAGGATATTGTGTTTAGGGATCATTGTTTAGTTGCTAATGGGATGGTCATTGTGTTCAGGCTTTTCATTGGGCAGATTTTTTTTTTTTAAAAACAGATGATGAGTTCATGCTGTTATTTACAAATCAAATCAAATTTAAAGTTACAGACTCTTTGATTTATATATATGTGTTTTTTTCTTATGCCAGACATCTTCATTTCTAATGTCTTTTATTTATTTTTTCCACTTATCAGTTAGTCTGTCTAAAATTTCAGGATAACATTGCTACCAAAATGATTACTTATGAAAATTTAAGATTCTTTTATATTTCTTTTTTTTTCCTTAGATAGCCCAGTAAGAATGTAACAATCCAAATTCCTTTGAAGTTCCTCTGTCATTAAGCTATCAACTTGGTATAGCTTTATATCTTTAGGCTTGTTTCTTTTATTTCTTGGAAATTTTATAGGGAGGGGGAGGCAGGCACCCCCTGCCTCGTGCTGAGGGTGCCATAATCCCTCATTGTTTCCTGCTGTCATTAATGGGCAGGTTCACATGTTCAGGGAAGGCCAGGAAGGCCTTGAGCTTGGGCCGGGTGCTGAAGTGTGCCACGTAGGCTGAGAGCAGGGGGCAGGAGTCCAGACAGCTGGAGGCCAGGACCTGGTGATTTAGCAGCAAGTCCAACAGGTTATTGTCCACAGAGAAGATCTGGTTGCCCCTGATGAAGGCCTGGCCCCCTGGTTCTGGGATCTCAGGGTCTCAAAAAGCTTCAAGTGCCTGGGCAGCTCCTTCCCATAGTCCTCCTTGCTCACCTCATAATTGGTCTAGAAGAGGGTGATATATTTGCTGCGGAGGTTAGTTCTCCATGCCATCATTCATAACATCCATCAAGGCCGTCTCCCACTGGTACTTCGCATACAGCCCGAGGGAGTGGCCCAGGTGGCACAGGATGGCACTGGACTGGTACAGGGTGAAGTCTCTGTCTTGGAACTTGGGGAGCTGCTTGTACAGACAGGAGACCTTGAGTGAGCCCTGCGGCCAGGTCTCCTTGGTCACCACCTCCTCTGTCTAGCTCTGGCCTTGGTCAACCAGCAGCACGCACATGGCTTCATAGTGCCTTCGAACAGGGAAGTGGACGAATGTATAGGACAGCATGGTTGTAGGGTAGACCTAGGCTCATTTGTTTTTTAAACTGAATTTTTAAAATTAGTTCTGTTCATTTGTTTTTTAAACTGAATTTTTAAAATTAATTCTGTATATTCCCCTATGGGTAACCAATTTTTAGTTTTTGGTTTGTCTGCCTCTTTTTAAAAATATAAGCAGACACACAGGGGTGCCTGCGTGCATGAATGTGTGTGTTATAGTATTTGTACAGTCCAACCCTGATAATTGGTACCAAATTCTATATACTATTCTGCTGCTTGCTTTCATTTAGTATATTCTAGAGATCACTCTATAGCAATATGTGGATAGATTCTTCATTCCTTTTTCACATGCATGATACTTAGTTGTGTGGATATATAGTAGCTCATTCTACAAGTTCCCTACTGATAAACATGTGGGTTGATTTACATTGTTTTGCTTTATAAATAATGTCATATCTTTTTGTATGTTTATCAGCATTTTTTGGGACATAATCCAAAATGTAGGTTTATGAAAGAGTGAATGAATGTATGTGTACGTCTCTCCGTTTTATTATAAGAAATTTCAAACATGTAGCACAATTGAAAGACTTCCGTAGTGAACCTTGTACCAGCTATCTAGATGCTACCTAATGGCAGTAGCATCCATTTTACTATCCATTTATCCAGTCCTTCTAATTATACATCAAGTATACGGCCATGCCACCCTGAACAAGCCCAATCCTGTCTGATCTCAGAAGCTAAGCAGGGTCAGGCCTGGTTAGTACTTGGATGGGAGACCACCTAGGAAGACTAGGTGCTGTAGGCATAAAAAATAAAAAATAAGAGATTGTAAGCTGACAAGGTCCTTGCAATCTGTGAGGTCAACCAAAGGCTGCCTTGCCTAAAAAAAAAAAAAAAAAAAATTATACATCAACCCATCTTATTTTTGGTGCACTTCAAAGTAAATTGCAGACACCTGCACACTTCTGCTAGCTATTTCAGTGCACATGTCACTAACTAGAATTTAGTATGTATAGAGATTTTGTACCTCGATGTAATTTTTACATACAATGTCATGAACAAATTAAGAGTATGCTTGCTGAGTTTTGATAAATCTGTATATTTCTGTAACCCAAGCCCCTATTAATATGTGGAAGATTCTCATCAACTCATCTAGTTCCCTCATGCCCCTTCAGTTGATCCTTGACCATATCTTTTTAGAGGCAACTGCTGTTTGTGTCTTTTTGATATATAATCTATAAGGGATTTTGATTGTATTTTAGTCATGTGTTGAATTTATTTCCTAAGGGACAGTAGAGAAGTTCTCATGTATGCGTATGTGTAGGGGGTTGGGGAGGGGGTGAGAGAAATTTGAGAGGCAACTATTAACATTTGTGTTTTTCTTTTTCTGGTCTGGATTCAAAGTTTCTAACATGGCATATTTTTAACATTTTTCTTCCTATTTTCATAAGTACCCCAGCCACTTTGGAACAGAATTACATAGTTTGTGAGCTGCAGCAAAAAATAAGTGTGCTATATTCCTTTTTGAGAAGCCATCTGAAGAAGAAAAGTATTGTATTTTTCTCCAGTTGTAAAGAGGTACTGAAGGTTTATTTTTCTTAAGTTATTCCTGTTGGATCATCTCTTTTAAAATATCAAATTTCAGACAAATAACAATTTCTTTTCTATTTTAGTAGATACAATGTTAGATGTGAGGGATCCATAGGTAGAGAACTTGTGCTTTTGTTTTAAAGGAATCTGTGGATGAAACTATAAGCTCCATTAAGGAAGAAACTGTTTTTACTTCAGTGTTGTAAGCACTGAGCACAATGCTTGGAACATAATAGCCCTAAAGTACTGGCAGAATAAACAATGGAATGACTAGGCTAACTAGAGGTTTTTATAATCTCTCACCTACCCTCCATGAATTCTGAACTGAATATGCCATTTGTTTTCATGCCTCCATATCTTTGTTCATGCTGATCTTTACAATTCCTTTCCTGCATTCCTTCACCTCAATTTTGGGGAAACATTTACTGTCTTTTAAGACTAATGGTACACTTGGAAGTCCTTTTCTGACACTCCCAATTCCCTTGTTATAACCCTATCCTGTAATCTTTATATCTTTATTTAGTTAATAAACATTTATACAATCCTAGCCTTTTGCTACAAGTAAGGGATTCAGTGATGTATGAGAAAACTGGGTCCCTTCTTTTAAAGAAGAGGGACCATGGCTGATTTTTGTCCCTTTTTCACATTCCCTGATGTCATAAGTTGGCATATAGTAGGTTGACTCTAGATTTATAGCTTTTGGAATAGTTTAACATTATAAATTTGTGAGTGAGATTATGGAGATCAGTAGCGGTCTGTCTTTTGTTGGGGGAAAATACAGAACCCTGTCATTTTACCATGTGAAGAATGACTTCAGATTTTTATTTCAGGACCTATTTTAGATTTTTAGAACTTTACATCTAAAGAAGGAGAATAAGTTTAAGAGTTTATGTTTAAAATTTCCACTGCATAACACTCTGCTTTCCCTCTTGTCACAGTGAACAAATTGTCCTTGCTTGTGTCTACAATCAACCCTTCTGTGTACGCTCCAGATCTTGCCCTCTCTCCTGCACAAGCCCTTCGTTACTGCAGATATCTTCTCTGTTTTCTTGTCTCTCTATCATTCTTGAATATTGCCCATGTTATAATAAAAAGCAAATCTCTTGTCCCTTTCTAGTCACTGCCTCTTTTTTCTGTTCTTCTTCACAGCAAACTCTTTTAATGATTTATCTCTATTAGTTGTATCACTGTCTCATCTCTTTCCACAGCCCTCCACTGTATCAGCCCTTATTAAGAGATACAGCTTGCCAGAGTCAGTGGTCAGTCATTAGTTCTTATTTGATCTCTCAGAAGCATATTAATACAGCTGATCATTCCCTCCTTCTTGAAACACTTCTTTAGACTCTGTGACTCCATACTCACTCACTTGTTTATTCCCTTGTCTTCTGACTGTTCTCATAACCTTCCTTGCTAGTTCTTCTTTGCCAGGCCACTACAATTTGGAGTGCCTCAAACTTCTGTACTCTGCCCTTTTTCCATATATACTCTTTTTAGGTAACCTTTTCAGTTTTATGGCTTTAAATGCCATCTGTATTCTGGCAACTGCTAAATCCATGTTTCAAGTCCTGACCTCTTTCCTGAGCCCCAGACTTGTGTATCTATTTGATTACTAGTATTCCAATTGAGTTTCTAGAGGGCATCTCAACTTTAACAAAGGAAAAACAATTTAAGATTTTCTCTCCCTTAAATCTGCTCCCTCAAGCAATTCCTCATCTCAGTAAATGACTGGATTCTTAATTCTTGTTTGTCTTCATCCCATATTCAGCCTATTGATAACTCTCATTAGCGCTACTACTTCTCAGTATCCCTCATGCTACAGTTTACTCTGAACCATGCTTAACTATCTCTTACTCCTGGTTGGTCTCTCCATTCTTTTACTTTCTTTTCTCTAGTTATTCCATATTACAGTGAGAATGATTTTTTTGGAAAGTGGAAACTGGAATATGTCACTGCCTTGCTGCAAACCCTCCAATGACTTTTTCTGTTAAATTTGAATTAAACTTGTTACTTAAAACCTACATGGCATTATTCTACGTATGTCTTCCACCTCAGCCAATTTTTTCAAGAGCAGTAATTCAAGGTCAGTTTTGATTCAAGAGATGCAGATTGCAGAAAATTTTCATGGACTCAATTTATACTTCAATTTCCATGATATTATTTTCTGAGATTGGTTTATCTAGGAGGCCATCTGTGGTCCTGTAGGTTCTCCTTTCCCATGTCCCCTTTGTGCAGTAGCCCTTTGGAAAATCTTTACGAAAGAAAGGCACAGGTCCACCTATCTTTAATCTTATTGATGCATTGTTTCAGGATCAGATAAGCTTTCTGGCACCAGTGTGGCTGTTCAGCAAGTCGATGCCTTTAATAACAGGGTAACAAGTCATTGCAATTCAGGTGGTTTCCCATTCTTTACTTTCAACAAAATTTGAAAAGAGACTTAACGAAGTATTAGCTGATAGATGATTACAAATAATTTTATGATTTTGAAATATTTTATAGGCATTCAAAGAATTAAGGTTCCTTCTAGCCCATTTCCTATATTTTTTTGTGAAGAAATTTTCTTAATACCTATGTTAGAAGAAATAGGAATAAAAAGATATCATACTCCGCCTCAGTCTAGCAATCAGTAGTAGTCATTTATAGATAGATAAACTAAAGAGAAATAAAACTAAAGTAACAATTGGCTCCATTTAGTCCTGCATATTAAGAGATGTAGTAACATCCACTATTATATAACTTCCAACATTTTAAAACAATAAAATTATGTTGAACAGTTTTTTAAAATCAAATTTTAGCATTTCTTGTTTGGGTCAGTTCTATACTGATAACAGTTGTGATAATAGTTCAGCCTGAGAAGAAAAATTTTAACAATTTTATAGTCCAGGAAAGTTTAAAAAGTTAAAAGTGATAAACAGAGTTTTGTTGTAGAAAACCATGAATTTTGATAAAGTAATCAAAAACTTTAAAGCATGAAACTATGAAGATAAAATTCTGTGGTGTCAGAAAATAAGAGTTCAGGGAGAAAAAGAAATGATAGAAAATTTCTTACTGTTAAAGAGGAGTTTCCTCACATTTTAAATATTTTAGAAAGACCTAATTTTTTTAGAGCAATTTTAGATTCACAGCAAAACTGAGGAGCCCTCTGCCACATAGTGCATAACCTCCTCATTATTTTGATATATTTTAAAAATAATTGGTAGCGGGTATCAAATTGCTCTGCTATTTAGATCTATTGGATATATTTATAAGATGTTACAAGGATTTATTTTAAAATATCAGTATTTACAATATATCAGAAATTACATTCTTTGTAACCAATTAAATTTGGAAAAGCGTTGGATGTTAACTTAAAAATGTAAGGGGAGCATTTTTTTTTCCAGAATTAATTTAGGAAATAATGTGAGCAAAAATGCTTGAACACCATAATTGTAGACTATATTTTCCTTTCTCTGCTCTGTATATCTTTAATTGGCAAAACTGTGACACTTGTGTTTCTTAATACATTTTTGCTCTTCATCTTGTAAGCTCACTTTGCTGCCGCTATCCTGAAGTACTAAACTCACTTTTCTGTTAATGCCTAGGTCCAGTATCTGTACCGAGTATTCTGCCGACTACGTCCTGGTATTTCTATCCTTGCCCTGCATGGTCGACAGCAGCAGATGAGAAGAATGGAAGTCTATAATGAATTTGTCCGTAAGAGAGCTGCAGTACTCTTTGCTACTGATATTGCAGCCAGGGGTCTGGGTAAGAAAACTTAGACAATATTCTGTGATCATGGGAAATATAATTTGCTTATGAGAGAAGCAAGTAAATTGATAGCTGAGATGATCAACATTAAAGATACATCTGTGAAAATTTTTGTAATATTTTCATCTTTTGTGCTCTTCCTGTTTCATCATAATAATTACATCATAGTATACTGAGGGGCCTACAAAATCAAAGGAGGATTAAAGATTTAAAGATACCAAAAAAAGTCCCATTTCTTTGAAAATTTGAAACTTGATAAATATTACAGCTTATTTAACAAGAAAAATGAGTGAAATCCATCTTTTCACCAGTTTAGTTATATTTTAAAATTATATTTAATGTATTTAATCTTTCAAAAAGCCACCGTGATAACATTATACATTATATATATAATATGTATACATTATATAATAACTGCTGGCTTTGTTGGGGTTGAATGAGGAATAGAAGTAATAGAAAAACTAAAGAATAAATGAGATGAGAATAAATTTGAATTCTTCACTTTATTTTACAATGCTAATAATTGTGGTACATTCTAAACATATACACATAAAAAATGACTCTAACGTACTCTAATATACTACCCAGCTTCAGCAACCATCTTTTTCATGATTACTCCTTTCCTCCTGTCTCCTTGTCCCTCTTGGAGTACTTTAAAGCATATCTCAAGATATCATATCAGGTCATTCCCATGAAACTGGAGGCAGTAGCCAAGTATGCATGTTGTTAAAACTCTCTAGGCTATCTTGTTATAGTATGACTTTTGGTAAAATCAACATTTTGTATTTACATTGTTTTAACTATGTACTTTTTTGCCGAGGGAAATAGTGTGCTAAGATTGTCTCGCTTCTTGCACTTTCTTTTGTGTTTTTGAGTTAATTAAAATTTGCCTAATTTCGTGTTTCCCAGTTCTAATTTTTCTCAAATGTTCCAGCAGATGTTACAGTTCAAACAGTTTGTTCTTTTTTCCCTTGAGACCTCTTCTGGGAGTCTTCTGTCTCCAGCTCTAGTCTAGACAGGTTGCTCCATAAGCCTGATGCACATTTGTCCTAGGACTTCTCTTTCCAGATCTCCCTTTCTTTCCAGATTATCTTCCCTTCCTTTCCCCTCCTCTT